AAGAGTCTCAGCTTGATGGCATCTTCAGAGACACCATTGATCTTTGTCAAATCACAAAGCCTATCAAACTCATCAAGGTGGTCAATGGGGTCTTCACTTGGCAATCCATGGAACATCTTGTTCTGAACAAGGTTGATCATTCCCAGCTTGATCTCAAAGTTGTGGTTCTGCACTGGTGGTGGAACAATCCCTTGTCTCTGTTGGTGGCGGTTTGGAGCATCTCCTAGACCAATCGGTCGAGTTTGCCTAGCTCGACCGAGTCCATTGCCCAAAGGGTTTCCATTCCCCTCTGGTACATCCATTGTATCAGCAACAAGCACCTCAGGTTCCTCTTGTACCCTCTGTGACCTCTGAACCCTCTTTCTACCCGTTGTAAAGTCTAGCTCGACCAAGTCCTCTGTAGACCGACTCGATCGAGTTCGCATACACCTGCAAAAAGAGACAAAAACCCAGCAGTACAATAGAACAGGGGTGGTATAGCTTGATCGTCCAAGTGTGTTTGAAACTCAAATGCAACAAAATAATCCCAAATCGGCAACGGCGCCAAATTGATGATAGGATTTGTGTGTGGGTGTGAAATGATATGAAATGAGATGGTGGAATGCAATAATGATGAGGTGGTAAGATGCAAACACAAACACAGTCAACAATTCCCTTTAACCATGATAGTTGTTATAGCATAAAGGGTATCAATCCAAAATGGGAGAAGATGTCACTCTATGAGATATGAAATGACAAGGAAGTCAAGCAAGCAGTAATAGATATGGGGTAACACTAACAACCTAAAAATGAAATGCAATGCAGTAAAAGTAAAGAAAGCAGTAAAGCAACAGCTCGACCAAGGACTCGAGTCGAGTTGGAACAGAGTACCGAGCTCGATCGAGTTTAGGGTCGAGTTGAGTAAAAGCAATAAAGGCAGCGACTTTAACAAGCTAATGCGAGAATTAGGGTTCAAGACAGGGTTTTGCAACAGGGGAAGCTACACTTAATCGATCTGCTCTTAAAACTCCTTGTATCAAGGCTTCTCTTGATATTGGGCTTCTCAATGCCTAGCCAACCCTTTCCCAAGGTGGAGGCTATCAACCAAGGAATGATCTCAGAAACAGGGGGTTAGCCAGTGAGAATCAGACCTTGGAGGCCATAGGATCATTGCCCAAACTAATCCATCCAACCCCTTGAAATCCATTTCGAGAGCAAGAGTTATTGGAGCTCTTAGTGGATATTTTCCAGCGATTTCCATCACTTCCATGTGGAGAATCGCCTAATGACATACAAGCCAGGGGTAGTGGTCATGTAGCCTTAAGATTTATCCAAAAGAGAGAGAATCTAGATTAAGACCATAAGCAAGAAGGATTAAGCATATGAAACCCCTAATCTATCCCATCTCAAACCCTAATGGGTAACTACTCACTACACATGAATGAAATAAACAACAAATGCATTGAAATAAACATCAAATGAAAGAGGAGATAAAGATAAACAACTTTTATTGAAATAAGCAAGTGCAAATACAAAAGAGATTATCCAGGATCTAGGATTCAAGAAGCAAGAGCTTCAAGAACACAAAGATGGGATTAGAGCTCTAAAAAGTAAAAGACAATAATTAAAAAGAAACTAAAACAAAAGTAATCTAAAGCTTGGTGTTTTTTCGTGGCTTTTAGCCTTTAAATACAAGAGGATTTAGGTTTAGGGTCAAAGGAAAGTCAAGGGGGAAGCAACATTTTTCGGGTTTGACTTTGACTTCCAGCTCGATCGAGTTGAAGCTTGGCCGGTCGAGTTGAGGAACTCGACCGGTTGGTCGAGTAGATGGTCGAGCTGGTCTTCAAGATGGCTTCCTCCCTTCTTCCTTTGCGTATCCAGTTGAGCTGCGTCCATGCGCCAAGTCCTTCCATGCTCCTCACGTCCCATATGCTCCAGAATGCTCCAAAAGACCTATTTCAAAGGACCAAACATGCATATGTATGCAAATGCAACCTAAAACTACTATGAATGCATAAGAAGAGAAAAGGAACAAGATATGATGCTAATGGATGCTAAAACTATGCAAAAGATGCATAAAAGATGTACTAAAACCATGCAAAATGTCTTTGAAGAAATCAACTCCATCTTACTTCCAACCTTTGACGAGTATGGAGCTGAAGAGGAGACTGATGGTGCACCTAATCTCTTTCACAAGATAAGAATCTTTACACCAAAAGATTCGGAGTTCAAAGGTGACCAATTCATTGAAGAGAAGCTTGAGAGAACAATGAAGCTTTTCCCCAAGGCATTGGTTTTCAAAGATGATGTGAGAGATGACTATGGCGCGACAACACCACCACAAGACCACTAACCGAGAATGGAGAAGCTAAAGGGATCCTTTGCCCTTCAGCCACTCTTCACCACTTAAAGAAAGAGAAGGAGTCAAGCTAAATGACTTAAAACAAAAGCGCTTTATGGGAGGCAACCCATATGGTTTTTAACTATCTATTTCTATTTTGCAGGAGTTTTTCAAAAATCAAACAAAAATACAAAAATATTTTCTTAGGATGAAGACCCAAAGGAGACCAAACAATGGAAGTGTCCCACCCAATGAGCCCACCCTTGTACAAGGCGTTTCTCTTCCAAAAGGTAAGTAAACTCTCACCTAGTATTCATTTCTAATCACTCTTGATCTTCAAAAAAATCGTTTAAACCATTGCACTTTACAAATATATTTCATGGTTTAACTTGATTTACATTTTGATGATTGGAAAGAATACATAATCACTTGTCAAACTCATTTCTCACTGAAATTACAAGAGATTGAACTATAGTTTGAAATTTGGATCATTAACCAAGACCAAATAAAATTTATAGTTTGTGCTTTAATCTCTTGGATTGTGAACTTCAAGTTGGTCACTTGAGGATCACAATCTGAAAACCATCTAATCATGATTTCAAGTGTTTTGCAAGGAGTTAACCATTTGACAGGAAGGAGAATAGCAAACCTATAACCACCTAAAACCAACATGCATATGGCGGCCAAAAGGGAGGTTAAAAGGAGATACACAGGCCATCACACGAAACAAGGCGGCCACCACTTGGGAATGACACAGGAGGGTTATTAAAAAATATTCGGTCGAAGAAAATCTCAATTGGCCCGAGTGGATTTGAAGAAATTCAATCCGGCACATTTCTCTCGGCCATACCGCGCACAAGGAACCAATTACGGCCAACTCCTAAACGGCGTGACCAAAGTCCACCAAACTTCACAGGCGACCATAAATCACATTTGGTCGGCAAATCCAAAAGATAGGACGGAGAAATCATCACGGATCATGAGATAGACGACGGAGCTCATTCATGGCCGATGGCGCGCAAGCAATATGGCCGACAAAACCAAATCACGGCATAGGCGCGCCAACCGGTTGGAAAACTCTTCCTTGAGCTTAACTAACACTTTTATGCAGGAAGAAACGAAAAGGAACGAGCCAAACTTCAATGGCCAAGGAAACTCCTTCCCGGAGCCGACTTGACCATTTTGTGAAGGAAGTCTCAATCCCCTCGTTCAAATGCTCCCAAACTTCACCAGAGGCTATAAAATACCAGGTTGGTCGATGAAATTTCAATATAGGTCATGAAATTTACGGTTTGTTCTGTAGTTCACAGCACCACATTTTGGCCGACCGAATATACCAATCTCGGCCAAAACACAAACCGGCGGAAACCAAGGCCTGAAATTCAAAACTCACCGACCAATATTGCCTAAAGAAGTGTAGAATGACCCAAACCGGAACTGATCTTCATTATAAATTGGTCGACATTTGGTAACATCATCCTAAACCTTTTTCTTTTCAATTTTTCATTTGAACTTCATGTTATACCTCTCTTAATCTGATTTGCTTTCACCGGGACGGTGCAAGTTAAGTCTGGGGGGATTACTAACTATGTTTGTTCATTTTGGCATTTTCATTTGCATTTTTCCCTTTTATCGAGTCGTTTTTATTGAGTCAAAATTTTTGTCGAGAATCATGACCTTATCTTGGATCTAACCATGGTTGTACTAATGTTTAAGTGACCATTGAGCAGTTCTTGGCAATACATCTTACCACAGGTGCACTATGAGTTGATCGATCTACCAAAAACGCCTACATCTCTAAAGACTTGAGAAGGATCCATCTTTGACTCCGCCCTTAATGAACTTAATCTTCTCAGCTAGGGGCTTGGCATACAAATGGCATGATTCCTCATCCTCTCCATCAAATGAAAAAGTCTTAGTGAGTTCGTGCTTCCCTCTCTCTCCCCTTCAAATTTAAAGAAAAAGCGTAAGGTCCAAGTAACCGGGGATTCGGTGGCAAACACCATCAATACTCGCGTCTATGGAAGGCCTATGAATCCAAGCAACCGGGGATTCGGTGGCAAACACCATCAATACTCGCGTCTGTGGAAGATCCAAGCAAAACCTCTATAATAAAGAGAAGGAGTTGAATAAAAAAATACTTCGCTACCCTAAAAAAGGGATGAATCAACTCAAAGAAGTGAGAAGAGAGAGAGGAGAAACATGGAGTAAAAAGACAAGTGCCAAACAAGGGGATGAGTAAGAGTCTAAAAGCCGGCTGATCGATACTCCCTAGTTGAGACCACACCTTTAGAAATGAAAGGAGTCAAGGGTGGCGAATTGGATTGTCTAAGGAGAGGTGGACCGCTTTGGGAAAATCGCAAAACTCATGGTATGTACTTTGTTCTTAATTCAAAACTTGCCAATGCTGTTTCATGTGGATTACTAAAGCATAAGTCAATTTGGATTTCCAAAAGATTTGAGAGTTCTCACGTTTTCAAACCTCTTTTCCTGCTTAGTTTGCTTGGGGACAAGCAAAAGGCTAAGTCTGGGGGAGTTGATATCACCATATTTTACATGATTTTACTATATATTTTATGTTTTCAAACGGTTTTTGCAAGATTCTTTGCCTTTAGAGGTAGTTTTCTTGTATTTGTGGGATTTGAAGTCTTTGTAGGTGAAACATCAAAAAGGATGCAAAAAGGAGCAAAAGAGCCTCAAACCAAGATCCATGCAAGTTTCCAAGTCAAGAAGATCATTTTATCTCCAAGTGTTAGTTCTCGCTAGCGAGCAGAACGAAGCTTCGGAAGTTTGGCCGCGCGGAGGAGTTCCCGACGTCCAAAAGTCGATCTTGATATGGAAAGATAGATACTTGAGTCATGCATCACGTCGAAGTGGAATGAAGCCATTTGGATCAACCATGAGGCCTAGAACTTATTTTCTACCGAGACATGTCCGGTAAGCGAGCAAACGAAGCCCATGGAGGATTTGGAGTGTCTAATGGCCCGAGCAGCAGCGCCAAAGGCCTTGATCGAATAGAGAAGAGGCCTAGTAATGTTTGGAGCTTTCCTTGGTACAATGTCGGCCCATACACGACGTGGAGAAGAAGGCTCGGCTCATGGAAACTTTCCTTTTTCAGCATGAAGAAAACCCTACTCGATCCCCATATATACATGTTTTTAGCCGCTGAGAAAGAGTCGAGGTGTGAGTTGTGAGAAGAGAGTCAGAGAAGACAGCCAGAGAGAAGCTGGAGGCGTCAGAAGAAGAACGCCGTTCAACTCTTTGTTCTTTTGTTTTCTTTTTCCATTTCTTTTTATTTCTATTTCAAGTCTTTTTCTCAATAGATTTCTTTCATCTTTTTGTTTTCTTTTTTTTTGTTTTTGTTTGTTTTTGTTCTTATTTTATTTCCTCTTTAGATTGGTCTTTTTTCTTCTAGCTTGAATTCATAAACCGTTTTTTCATTATTTCCATTTCTTTGTATTTGATTCTAAGAGTTTCAAGGGAGAATCCGACTTTGTTCATCAATAGAGAAGCTTTCTTCATCCCTTTATCTCTTTTAATACTTGCATAATGCTTTCAATCATGCTTTGCTTGCTTGTTTGCATCATGGCCGAGTAGATCTCTTAGTTAGGCCGAGGAGATCTATGGTGGCCGTGATGATTTGATTTGATTGCAACTTATTGGGATTTATCTTATGGATCTTCACCTTACTTGAACTTAATGCATGATTACTCTACCGTACATCTAGTAATCTGATCTTAGAGAAATAGAACCACGACAGTGCTGAATCATAGTGGTTGGAGCCACGACAGTGGGAAGACCATACACTAGTGATTCATGTTCAAGACGGCTCTACACAAATCCCATGCAACTATCTTTTCATCATTGCTCCATATGATCGTCCTTTGCCTAACTCTTGTTTTAAATTGTTTAGAACCTCACTCATATTTCCTTTGTTTTGCTTTCTTATTCTAGGACCAAAACCATCCAATATGACGAGCTAGCTACAAACCAATCTCACAAGGTGTTAAGCGAGAACACTTCCTCCTTGTGTTCGACCCCGACTACAACGCGGCTGTGCACTTGCAGCTCAACTAGTTGGGTTTATGAATTGTGAAAATTTGAGGCAATCTAAACCCGCCATCACTTCTCCACAACGCCTGGTTCTCCATGGCAGAATGGTGTAGCTGAAAGGCGGAATCGTACTTATTTGGAAATGGTTAGATCCATGATGAGTCATGCTAACTTACCTAAATCTTTGTGGATGGACGCATTACGTACTGCAGTCTATATCTTGAACATGGTTCCTAGCAAAGCAGTTCCTAAGACTCCTTTTGAACTGTGGAAAGGCTGGAAACCTAGTCTGAAATACCTCCAAATTTGGGATGTCCAGCTGAAGCAAGAATATACAATCCACATGAAAAGAAATTAGACTCCAGAACAATTAGTGGTTTCTTTATTGGTTACCCTGAGAAGTCTAAAGGATTTAGGATTTACTGTCCAAACCATAGTACAAGAATTGTGAAACCGGAAATGCCAGATTCCATGAGAATGGCGAGTTAGTGGGAGTGATAAAGTTAAAGATGTGATCATTCAGGAAATTAGGGTAAATATCCCTTTACCCTTAACTCCTAATGTTGGGAATCCTCTGTTGTTGAACCACTTAACAATGAAGAAACCCAGTGAATGATCAACCACTCCATGATGAAAACATCGCCAATAATGAACTTGTAGTACAAGAGGAACCAGCATTAAGAAGATCAACTCGTGAGAGGAGATCTGCTATTTCTGATGACTACATGCCTTATCTCATAGAATCTGGGGGAGGGAGCATTAAAGACCCGGTTTCTTATTCACAAGCCATGATAGATGTTAATTCTGATAAATGGATTGATGCCAGTAATGATGAAATAGACTCAATGGTTAAGAATGAAGTTTGGGACATTGTTCCATTGCCTGAAGGACACAAAGCAGTTGGGTGTAAGTGGATCTTTAAGACCAAACTCGACTGTAAAGGCATGTTGAACGATATAAAGCCAGACTTGTAGCCAAAGGTTTAATCAGAAAGAAGGCATTGATTATTGTGAGACCTTTTCACCTGTGTCAAGAAAAGACTCTCTCAGAATTATCTTGGCATTAGTAGCTCAGTATGATCTGGAGTTACATCAAATGGATGTGAAAACCGCTTTTCTTAATGGAGACTTAGAAGAAGAAGTCTATATGTGTCAACCTGAAGGCTTCATAATCGAAGGTCAGGAAGACATGGTCTGCAAACTTAAGAAATCAATTTATGGACAGATACAACCTTCGAGATAATGATATTAAAAAGTTTAATGAAACCCTTATGAAATTTGGTTTCAAAAAGAAAACATTGTAGATCATTGTATGTATCTCATGATCAGTGGGAGTATGTTCATATATAAGGTATTGTATGATGATGATTGGCTAGCAATGATTTTGATTTATGAATGAGATACTTAAAGGGGGACAAGAAATCATATGCTGACGTATAGGAGATCAACACATCAACAGACGGTTTGTTTTTCAGACTCAGATTTTGGTGGATGCCATGACATTAGGCACTGCACTCTTGGCTATGTGTATCTCCTTGACGGAGGTGCCATCTAATGGAAAAGCCAGAAAGTCGCAGTTGATTTACACATCCACTATCGAAGCTGAGTATGTAGCATGTGATATGTCCTTTAAGAGTTTACACAAGGAGAAAGAAGAAAACGAATACAGAAAAAGGGAATGTTCAAACCGACTTGCTCACAGAGAAAAGGAAGAAGTCGGATTGGGAAGCTCTTGAAGGAAAGGAAAGTCTTTGCTATTGCTTTATTACATATATATTAGTTTATGCTTTACCTAGTTATGCTGAATATTCTAGTTGTGATTTGACCTAGACGCTATGGGTTTGTCAACAAGATCGCTATGAGATCTTGAGAGTGCTTGAATGAGATCGCTATGAGATCTTGAGTGCTTTCTATCCATCTATCTAGTTCTTTCTATCTATCTATCTATTGTAATTGGTGTTATTCTAATAAAGAAGAGGATTTAGGGTTTGGGTTCTTATCAAATTGGTGCGGTGAGTGTGGTTCGAACAGATACGCCGTTAGAGCTTAAGATTTGTAGCAATAATGACGGTTAAGTTGTGCGGTGTGCGAAGAACGGATTACACAACTTGGTGGCTCCTTGGGAAAATTGCATGGCGAAGTCGCCTCAATCAAGGCTGGCTGCGAGAGCATGTCATCGCGACTTGGCGTTTTGGAGAAACAGATGACATCAATTGCTGAAACTCTTTCACGCATCGAAGCTATTTCTTTCTCAGGTTGTGGTCAAGACAAAGGAATCTCTTTGTCATCACTTTCTCTACCTCAGGTACCTAGTGCTCTTCCTGTGACTGATGGAACTACTAGATGGATAGGTTATCGGAGAATATTTGGTGCTATTGAGAATCAAGAAAGTATGTTAAAAAACGTGGAGATGCCTGTGTTTGATGGTCGTTTGCCGTATGGTTGGATCTCTAGAGTAGAAAGATTTTTTCAATTAGGTCACTATGCAGAGAAAGAAAAGTTGGCATTGGTTGCTCTGCATCTAGAGGGATCAGTGTTGAATTGGTTTTACGGAGAGATGGAGAAAGCACCAATCTCTAACTGGTCACAATTTAGGAACAGATTTCTTGTTCGATTTGCACCGGTCATGAGTTGCTCTCCACCAGTAGTGCTGATGACAAAGGAATTAATTCCAGTGATTAGTCAAGAGGAAGAAACAAGAACAGAGACAAAACTGATGCAGAGAAAGGAATTAATGGATGGATTGCCATCACAATTTGGATATTTTTTGGATTATATGCACTCTAATTTTGTCAGTGATGATCTGCCTCAAGAAGTATACATGTTACCAGTGAAAAACGAGCTGGAATTGGCACTACAATCATCATGTATACCGACCAAACCTTGCCCATACAAATCATTCGAAAACCTGCTGCTGATGCTGTTACAAAGAGAGAAGCAACAAGGTATGCAGAAAAAAATTCCAAAGACATGGAAATTTAAGTATAAAGGACGTACAAGGCAAAGAGACAAGACAGCTACTACACAACAAGTTGGGTACAACTTGGAACGTGAAAAGAAGGATTCAAAGATTCAAAGCATTCTGGGACAGTGGAGAACAAAAGGAAGTCACATTCCTAGTTTTCTGCAGTTTATTATGATGAGATCTTATTGTTCTATTGGTGGGAAAGACACAAAACTGCTAATTATAAGACTACTTCAACTCTCTTTCTTGCATCAACATGGGGCAGTGATTCTTTGTATGTTTCCAGGACTAGTTGATTGGGTTAGTCTGATTCAAGGAGAAGCTTTAACTTGACCAGAGGATCACTTTGTGATTCTAGCTAAAGCTGATCAGATTTTCCAAGTTGGAGCATTATCATTGCCCCTTGAGGACAAGCTGGGTCTTCGAAAGGGGGGTATTGATATGTCCTTAAGAGTTTACACAAGGAAAAAGAAGAAAAGAAATACAGATAAAGGGAATGTTCAAACCGTCTTGCTAACAGAGAAAAGGAAGAAGTCAGATTGGGAAGCTCTTGAAGAAAAGGAAAGTCTTTGCTATTGCTTTATTATATGTAGATTAGTTTATGCTTTACCTAGTTATGCTGAATATTCTAGTTGTGATTTGACCTAGACGCTATGAGTCTGTCAACAAGATTGCTATGAGATCTTGAGAGTGCTTAAATGAGATCGCTATGAGATCTTGAGTGCTTTCTATCTATCTATCTATCTAGTGTTTTCTATCTATCTATCTATCTATTGTAATTGGTGTTATTCTAATAAAGAAGAGGATTTAGGGTTTGGGTTCTTATCAGCATTTTATGAGGCTTCTATTCAAGGAACTTGGTTGAAGAATTTCGTGTCTGAGTTTGGGGCTTTGAATTTTGTTGAGAAGCCTTTAACTTTTTACTGTGACAATCAAGTTGCCATCTTCTTTTCCAAGTATAATAGGATATCCAAAGGTGCCAAACACATGACCTTAAATATCTATCACTAAAGCAAGATGTCAAGAGAGGAAAGTTTGTCATTGAACACATAGGCACTGATCTTATGGTTGCAGACATATTTACGAAAGCTTTGCCTTCAAAGACCTTATAAAGCATGCTGAAAGTATGGGTCTTGAAGACAGCTCTAAATTATGTTGTCTGCTTTTATGTTTAGCCTATATTTGACATTTATTTGAGATCTTTTATGACTCTTACATCTTTTATTTATTCTGTCTCCATTGTGCACACATTATTGTTTTGGATTTATGATAACAGAATTCGTCTTTCATTAAGACATAAAGGGACCATTATGATAACTCCTACTTATGGTCTAGCTATGAAGGTAATCAATGTAGTAGTACATGGAAGGGATCATGTTGGAGAATGATATGCAACCGCCATGACTCCCATTGATTACTAGATTAGTCAAGACACTTATGATGACCAAATAAAAGGGTTTAGCATATTATGCCGGCCTTATGATTCCAATAAGAAAACATAAATGGATCTTTATAACGACCAAGTGGGAGACTGTAAGATAATTTATCTTCCTATTATATGGTCTTATATTAATCCGTTTTTCTATTGGGCTATTGCTATTTCATAACATATTTGGTATTTAATTAACTTAAATATAAATGAGTATTTCCTAATAATCTCTACTTTGATGGACGGTTGAGATTAAATTTAAAGAAACCCTAAAGAGGAATTAGGTCCTCTCTCCACCTATAAATATATTCCTTTAGTCCATTGTAAAGGCATCCTAAAGTTAAGACACATAAAGTTCATAGGCAAGGGGAGAGAAACCTAATCACCTATCTCAGATTCAATACCTCCATCTCTTCTCTACAATGGCTGGAGGTAAGTCATCTATAAACTCTTATGATTCTATTATGTGATTACTCTGGATGTTTGAAGGTCTTAGGATTCATGTAAAAGTATGCTTACATAAGAAACTTATCTTGTAAGGGTGGGTGGTTCCCCTGTAATCTCCATTGTTCTCCAAAACCTCGAAATTCATGATATCTTGACATTCACCTTCCTTCAATTGGTTTTTGAATTTCTTAACCAATTTTGTTTTGACAGAAGCTTAGATACTGTCTCCCTTTAAGAAAAAACAGAGTATAACTAACTTATATGTCTGAATCTTTAAAAACACTTGTTAATCTGATTTTAACAAATAGTGATTACTTTTCATCCACGAGTATTAAATCTGATTTATCTTGTGGATGAAAATCTCAACTTCGGGACATCAGAATCCCAGAGAGGAAAAGAGAATTTAAAGATAAATCGTAATGATTTGAACTTCGAAACGGAGAAATACAACAAAACCAAAAACAGATGAACTGGATATGATGAAAGATCGAGGAAGACGAAAAAATATGGGAATTGAGTGAAATTGATAACGGAAAATGAATTTAAGTTCATGGTTTCGAGGTCCATGATCAGAGAGTGGGGAGCTAGGAATGAAAAATTAGTGATTTCTTTTTCCTCTAAACCGTGGAAGACAAAATATAAAACGTGATTATATAATTATTCTTTTATATTATTTGTGTTTTTGGGCTTAATATAAATGATGGGCTTTACACATTGCCTAATCTCCAAATTAGTGATAACAATTTGCTCTAATTTGTAAAGGCTAGTGACGTGGACTCGATTAGCGTTTGTTTTCTTTAAACTTAACACATGTCACTCTGCCATTGGACGAGTGACTTGTGCTTTAGTATATAAAGGATGCTTGAGTGAATATTGTGTTTTCTTTGTTTATTTTGTTTAGCTGCCTTACTATTTGTAACCATATTTCATTTTGACATGATTTAATTAAATATTATATAACATAGAAAATTGATCAAAAGGATTTGAAATACTTAGTTAAAGGATTTATCAAACAGGATTTAATAAATTGATCATGATTCTCATTCGTTAAAGAAAATTGGGTAAACCTTATCAACTAACAAACATGTTTTTTTTTTATAACCAATGTATACAATTTTTTTTATTCTACAATATGGACATGTTAAAAAAACTTTCTTCTACAATAAGGACATCTTATTTTGTAGGATAATCGATTTGCATGACTATAAATCAAAAGTATTTATGTTTTCCGAGTTCCTGAGTTTGTCGAGAAATATAAGACAAATCGCCATGATGTTCTTGTGCAGCTTGTGTTTTGTGTTGTTCGCACTTTCCATGATGAGTTGCAAAAAAATGTTTGTGTTAGTATTTATATTTTTTATTTATTTTGTGTACACTAAATGCTATATGTGATTGTTTGTTATTACTTTAAATTTAAGTTTCCTCTTAATTTGAATAATGTATAATTGTAACAGAAAATCGTATGAATGTTATAATTGTAACCACACCCAACGGATTAAAGGGTCAAAATCATTAGTTTTGATTCGTAAGAAATGGATATGGTTAAGTTCTTTTTAATTGTCTCCTTCCTGATTATTGACAAAGAAAAGCAATCATGAATACACTTTTTCAACATGCAGTTTGAGTATTTGCCCAATATAAAAGCAGAAAGATCTTTACTACTTTGTTGCATCGGTTACGCCTCCATCGTCTAAGAATGGGGGAAAAAATAGATGACGTTTGGTCTTAAACTTAAATTTTTGATGAAACGAAGAAGAAATTTAACAGACGAGACTATACAATGTCTGAACTGCTTCTAACTGTGACTTCTCAAAATCAAATATGTTGACTATTTAGAAAAATTCTGGACAATAAACCAAGTGAACAAATCTCTCGAAAAAAATCCAAGCAACATTTAATTAAGCTACTTCAATTTTTTGGGTAAAGAGGGAAAAGCAAAACGTTGTTTAAAACCTTTTGAGTGTTCTTCTTGTGAACCAAGATTTGTCATTTTCGCTTTTCTTTAAGTCCACTCTAAAATAGGATTATACTTCAGTTACACTATACTGAAATGATTCAGCAATGGTTCAATACAAAAAATTTGCATATGTAACAGACCGACAAGAACATTTCATTTTTCAGAAAAAAAAGATTTACTCACCGGGAGTGTGTTTTTTACGAAAGCCCAAAAGGAGCATAGTCAAGAATAGTGTCGGCCTTTGTTTTCCTAAATCAAAATGTGTGAATAATTCAACAGATTATTTCATTCAAATTTCTATGATTCAATCTAAGAATCTCACATAAATGATCCAAAGCTTACCAGATCATTAGATCCTGCACCAAATTTAGCATGTCACTCATGTCCTAACAGCTTTCAGATCTTAGCGGACTTGTGCTTGTTGTTGTCAGAATTGGATTTATGGTGTGTATAGTAAGCATCAAATATAACATGTACATATGAATATCACAACTTTGAACAAAAAGTATCCTCCAAAAGTTGTTCTCCGTCTTCAAAAATTCAAAAGAAAAGCCTCAACAATAGTGGTATATTGTTCATTTGTTTTTCTACCTCCTGATCTATACCAATAAAGTAACCAGAGTCTCTATAAGATAATTGTTCTCCCTAAAGACTTCATCCACATAATCCCATAATAAATTCTTGATTGTTTCTCAAAAAGACCAATCACCCCAGAATTTTGAATGATTCAAATGTGATTCCCAAACTAAGAAAACCACATAAATATTTGGTTTTATGCTTCGTACCTGCAAACAGTTATGATCATAAGCTCTTATAAACGTAATTTTTCAATCATGTTTTCTTGCTTGTTTGCATCATGGCCGAGTAGATCTCTCGGTTAGGCCGGGGAGATCTATGGATGCTATGATGATTTGATTGTGTTGCAATATTGTTGGGATTTTATCTTATGGATCTTCACCTTTACTTGAACTTAATACATGATTACTTTACCGTAAATCTAATCATCTGATCTTACAGAGATAAAACCATGACAGTGCCGAATCTAAATCTCCAAACTAGTATTTGGTGAGCAATGGGTCATCGCCAACGAAAGCTGAGTTATGGACCATTGTGAACAATTGAATCTTGATCACCTTTAATGCATGTTTGCAATACTAATAGCCAACGAAAGCTGAGTATATTAGGTTGTTTGAAACATAATGGTTGGAGCCACAACAGTGGAAAGACTATACACTAGTGATTCATGTTCAAGACGGCTTTACACTTATCCCATGCAACTATATTTTCATCACTTGCTCCATATGATTTCCTTTCCCTAATTTTTGTTTTAAATTGTTTACAACCTTACTTACAGTTTGTCTTTGTATCTTTCCTATTTTAGGCTCCCATCTCACTCATATTGCGAACTAGCTCATTTTCAACCTCTAAAGGTGTTAAGAGAGAACAATTCCTCCTTGTTCTCGACCCCGACTACAACACGTCTGTGCACTTTCAGGTCGTTTGGTTGGGTTAAAAATTGTGAAAACTTGGGGCAATCCCAAAGCACATCAAGCTTTCTGGCACCGCTGCAGGGGAGTAGTAGCTATTCCTTCACACCTCTTGATTGATTTCAAGACTAGTTCATTTAATTTCTTTGCATCTTTGTTTTTGTTTTCCATAAAATCTTTAAAATTTATCTTAAATGTCTCTTTGTGTGTTTTTTAGGTGAATGACAAGAAGGTCCAATCCAAATAACTCAATAGAAGAAGATCTTGACATTGAGCAGCTGGAAAGAACACTAAGGCGACAAAGAAGAGAGAGGATGAATCAAGGCGGAGAAGGCGCACCAAATAGGCAGCAGCAGCCTTCTGACCAAGAAGAGAGGGCTGATAACCCTCATATACCACAAGAATCTGGAGCCGCGCCTCAACCCAATCCAAACGCTCCCGGTGCTGCCGAGCAGCCGCAGCCATCTCATAATCAACCACAACAACCTCCGGTGCTCCAAAATAATCAACACCATCATCATCATCAAGGTGACCATCAAGGGATGCCTCAAGCTCAACCTCAAGTGCCTTCAAGGAGAGCACAATTCGCTCAGCATCTAAGGCACCAAACTATGGGAGATTTTGATTCTTCCGATGCTTTCTTAATGGATCGGAATCCCATCCGACCACCTCTACCATCAAGGAACGACTTTGAGATCAAGCTTCAGGTCATTGCCTTGGTGAAACAAAACCATTTCCATGGTTTTTCCAGTGAACATCCTCTTGATCATGTCGACGCCTTTGAGGAGATATGCAGCACAACTGGCATCAATGGAGTGTATGTGGATTACTTCAAGTGCAAGTTGTTCACTTTTTCTCTAAGTGACAAGGCACTTAGATGGGTCAAGTCTTTACCAACGCAGTCTATTACAACATGGAATGAATACAGGGGAGCTTTCTTAAAACAATTCTACACAAAGTAAAGATCGAACTCTATAAGGAGCAAGATTTCTGGTTTTAAGCAAGCAGTAATGGAGTCTTTCTATGAAGCATTGGAGATATTCAAGGAGTATACAAGGAGTTGCCCTAACCATGGCTTTTCAGAAGGTAACCTAATGTAGGAGATGTTTAAGAGATTTCCTTAATTTTCCTTTTTCTTTAATTACGTTTTTCCTTCTCAGTTTTGGATATTTTCTAGGGTTTTGTTTTCCTATGTAAACACTTATAAGTTGTAGCCATGAGGCAGATAACAGCTTTCACCAATCAAGTTGTTAACGGAGGGCAAAGAGATAACAGCTTTCACCAATCAAGTTGTTAACGGAGGGCAAAGAGATAGGGGAAGAGAACCAATTAGGGTTCAACAGGGCAAAAACAATCGTGCCACAGAGCCAGTTAGGGTTCAACATGGTGGAAACAGTCGTGGTGTTAATGTCGAAATCTCTAGCTCTGATTATGAAGATCTTGAGGACGAAGAAGAATCTGATCAAGAGAATCGACAAAACAATCATGATTATAGAGTAAAGGCTGATATTCCATTGTTCTATGGAACTATGGGAGTGGAGGAGTTTCTGGATTGGCAGATTGATGTTGATAGATTCTTCGATGATGAGTGTTCCTGAGAGCAAACAAGTTAAGATGGTAGCAATCAGGCTGAAGAAAACTGCTGTTGTATGGTGGTATAAAATTGTTATCCAAAGACAAAGGCAAAGAAACGGACCAGTCAAGACTTGGCGTAGAATGAAGCAGTTGATGCTTGATCGGTTCTTACCAGAAGACTATGAGCAGATTCTCTACAAGATGTATCTCGAATGTGTTCAAGGTAAACGAACAGTGACAGAGTACACAGCTGAGTTTGTGCGTTTCTCTGAACGCAATGATCTAGGAGAGACAGATAATCAAAAGGTGGCTAGATACATCAGTGATTTAAGAAGCTCTATACAAGAGAAAATTGGTTTGCAGACCGTATGGACTGTGCAAGAGGCTTCTAGTTTAGCTTTGAAGGCTGAGCTAATGGAGAAGTCAACTCGCAGTTTTTCTTCATTCAAGAGGTTTACACCTCAGAATAACTACGAGGCAGCAAACGAAAAGGAAAAGAATGTTGTAAGCAAAGATCCCAACCCTGTAAATAAAGGTGCTAGTAGTTCTACCACTACTCAGCAGAGTAAAGCACCAGCTCAGAAGCAGAATAATCCTTATGCTAAACCATCTCTTGATAAGTGTTATCGTTGCCAAGGAAATGTCACAAATCAAATGTTTGTCCAAGCAGAAGAACTGTTGCTTTGCTAGGAGAAGAAGAGGACAAAGAACAAGAGTTTAATGAGGATGATGAATATGAAGGGGTTGAATTTGCTGAAGAGGAGTCACATGAGAAGATAAACATTGTGCTTCAGAGAATCTTATTGTCATCTAAGGACGAAGGACAACGCAAGAATTTTTTTAAAACACACTGCTAAATTCAAAACAAAGTGTGTAATGTGATTGTGGATAATGGAAGCACAAAGAATTTGGTTTCTCAAAAGCTGGTCGATTTTCTGAAGTTGCCAACAAAAGAAAATGAGAACCCATATCCTCTTGGGTGGATAAAGAAGGGCTAACAAGCTCGAGTCACAATGACTTGCAAAGTTCCCATCTCCATTGGGAAACACTACAAGGAAGAAGTAATTTGTGATGTTCTTGACATGGATGTTTGTCATGTTTTGTTTGGCCGACCATGGCAATATGATAATGATATCACATATCGAGGACGAGATAATGTGATATTGTTTACTTGGGGAATACATAAAATTGCTATGGCTCCTGTTTTGGATTTTGATAAAAGCGAGGGAAAAAGAAGTCCAATTTCTTGGTAATGACACATAGAGAAAAGGAGCTAGACGAAGCTTTCAAAGAAACTAAATGTTTCTTCCCTGTGGTAGTTAAAGGGTTAATGAGTGTGGTGAATGAGGAAGCAACAACTCCAGAAGAAGTGTTAGAGATTCTAGAAGATTTCAAGGAGTTGACTGCAGATGAATTGCCGAATGACCTGCCTCCTATGCGAGATATTCAACATCATATTGACTTGATTCCAGGTTCTAGCTTACCAAACCTTCCCCACTATCGTATGAGCCCGAAGGAGAATGAGATTTTAAGGGAACAGATTGAGGATTTGCTGAAGAAAGGGTTTATTCGTGAGATCATGAGCCCATGCGCAGTGCCAGTCCTTCTTGTTCCTAAGAAAGGTAACCAATGGCAAATGTGTGTTGATAGTAGAGCTATTAACAAGATAACCATCAAGTATCGATTTCCTATCCCTCGACTAGAAGACATGCTTGATGAGTTGGCGGGTTCTAAGGTATTTTCAAAGATAGATCTTCGTAGTGGATATCATCAAATTCGAATCAGGCCTGGAGATGAATGGAAGACAGCTTTTAAGAGCAAAGATGGATTGTATGAATGGTTGGTGATGCCTTTTGGGTTGTCAAATGCTCCTAGTACTTTCATGAGATTGATGAACCAGATTCTTCGACCATTCGCTGGTTCTTTTGTGGTTGTTTACTTTGATGATATTTTAATTTACAGCAAGACCAAAGAAGAGCACTTGGATCATTTGAAGCAGGTTTTGCAAGTCTTACAAGAAAACCAGTTGTACGTTAATCTGAAGAAGTGTACATTCTGTACCAACAAGCTGGTATTTCTAGGATTTGTTGTTGGTGAAGAAGGGATTCAGGTTGATGAGGAGAAAGTGAGAGCTATTAGGGATTGGCCTGCCCCTAAATCAGTCACTGAGGTACGTAGCTTTCATGGTCTAGCTACCTTCTATAGGAGATTTGTTAGAGATTTTAGTACCATTACTGCTCCTATTACTAGTGTTTGAAGAAAGGGAAATTCTTTTGGGGGTCTGAACAAGACAAGAGTTTTGCTTTAATTAAGGAGAAGCTATGTACTGCACCAGTCTTAGGCATTGTCCTGAACTTTGATAAAGTGTTCCAAGTTGAATGTGATGCTAGTGGAGTTGGAATAGGTGCTGTCTTATCTCAAGAGAAAAGACCAATAGCTTTCTTTAGTGAGAAGTTAAGTGAGGCTCGCCAAAGATGGAGTACTTATGATCAAGAGTTTTATGCAGTATTTAGAGCTCTAAGACAGTGGGAGCATTACTTGATTCAGAGAGAGTTTATCTTGTTCACTGACCACCAAGCTCTGAAGTTCCTTCATAGTCAGAAAGTGATAAACAAGATGCATGCTCGATGGGTAAGCTTTCTGCAAAAGTTTCCATTCATTATTCAGCATAAGGTCTGGGACTTCCTTACTCATTACCTTGACACATGAGATTGTGGGTTTTGAGTTACTAAAGGAGTTGTATGAAAGTGATGCTGAATTCAAAGAATTGTGGGAAAAGTGCAATGGTAAACTGATGTACTTGCATTTTACATAGTTTTAGTATATCTTTTACATCGTTTTAGCATTCATTAGCATCATATCTTGTTCATTTTCCTTTCTTATGCATACATTGTAGTTTTAGGTTGCATTTGCATACATGTGCATGTTTGATCCTTAATTAGGTCTATTTGGAGCATTATGGAGCAATGGGGACGTGAGGAGATAGGAAGGACATTGTGCATGGACTCAGCTTAACCGCGCATGCTTGGAGTGAAGAAGAAAGTCGCCTTAGAAGCCAGCTCGACCACCTGCGCGACCAACTGGTCGAGTTCACCAACTGGACCGGCCAAGACTCAACTCGATCGAGCTGCTATTCTAGGAGTCAAAGTCAAACCTGAAAAATGTTGCTTCCCTTTGACTCCCCTTTGACCCTAAACCTAATCCATTTCCTATTTAAGGGCTTGTAGCCACGAAAAATAAAGCTTCTTTTGACCTCTTTTTA